CTTCCATGTTTACTAACAATAAAAAAAAATTGAGGGTTTCTCTGTACAATGCTTGCTTAATAATATTTTGATTTTATGTGTAACCATCTCAACAAATAAATTTTTTAAAAAATAAAAAATGAAAAAAAAAGAAATCAGATTTTAGGAGGATTACAAAATTAGTAAGTATTATTAAAGGAGAAAAAAAATGCTTGGAGTAATTATTTCAAGAGATTTTCTAGTTTTTTAAAAGACAATATTTGTAATGATGTTAGAAACCATTTAAATATTTATTTATAAACTTTATTTTATTTACTTAGTGGGAGATGATATTATTAAAGTCCCTTTTTTGATCAATAATGATGAAGAAGAAGAAGATTCAACACACACTTTTAATGATAACAATGATCTAACTCATGACTTCTAATGAAGATGGTGGTGTTGTTGCAGTTCATTTTATCAATAATGATAAAAATTCTTTTATTGATAACAACAAGATTGAAGATGTTGATGATGAGGTTGAAGATGATGAAGAAGAAGAAGATGATGATGATAGATTTCTAATAAACTCTATCATCCATACAGACCCATGCCATTTATAATGAATGACCATTTGACCTTCAGAAGTAGTGAGGTCAATTCTAGGGGGTTAGAGTATAGATAGATGTTAAATACCACTTCTTGTCAAATATCCTCAGGATTAACCTCACTATTTCTGATGGATATATTGCTTTTAAATAGTAAATAATTTTTTAATTAAATTTTACCATAAAAATAAATAATTAAAATTAAGTGAATTAAAATAGCATCAATTTGTGTATTACTTCTTCAACATCTTGATAAATGCTTCTTTAAAATATTTGCAAGGTTGTGTCTGTTATAAATACGTGATTTTAACTTTTCAATAAGCTGCAGTACAATTTTCAACACTGAAATTATCTAATAACGATGAAAAAAGGGAAGAGTGATCAATTGTTTAAAAAAATTTATACCTATCACCATATAAGGGGACAACATGACAAATTCCATTCTATGTTTTGACTTTCAATGCAGTATTTGGGCTATTGGTCAATAAAAAAAAATAAGGTATCAATGCAAAAAGAGAATCTCTGGTTATTAACAAACAACATATCTCCAGAACCAACCATACCAAATAATACTTTTGATAAAATTAAATATGTTTGTTAATGAATGCCTAGTTCCCTTCCTTGTCTTGGATTCTTCCTTTATTAATAATATTAAAAAAATCATAGCCATAATTCTTGTTAGTATTTTACAATTGTAAAACAAAACCCAAAATCAAAATCAATATATATAAAAAACCAAATCTTTATCAATTATTATCAATATAAAAAATAAACTACAAATACTTAATAAAAATGCAAGTGAGTTTTTTTTTGTGATTGTTGATTGATTGGCTTTCATTATATTATCAAACCTATTAAATCAGCTCTATAATATCAACCAAAAGATTGATCTAGAAAAAAACATAAATCTAGCCAACTGGTGATCAAAAATACCCAAGGGAAATTTAAAAGATTTCAAACAATTGTTTAACAAAGACTGAGTTTAATCCAAATTTTTCATTTGGTGAAATGAAAACTGAAATATGTGGATTATGTGATGGATAATTATTGCATTCTATTTAAAAACCTTACAAGGAATTAATAAAGAATGGAATAATATAAAGATGACGATATAGAAGATGAAGGATTAGCAATAGCAATAGTATTATTAATAATAGTGAAAATATAAAATAGATTTACATCAGAGTGGCTAAAGAATAATCAATGTACAGTGTGTAACAAAACTTTTTGGAATTTTTTATTTGTCCATAGCTCAAAAGTTACCACATAAAAATGAATGAAAAATATGTCAAAATAAAGCTTAAAATCTGAAGTTTTTATTGATATAAAGTTAATAGTTTATTCTCTCGCCATTGTTCTCAATTATCATCTCACATCTCCTTCTCATTGAGCTGACAAGGTTGATTAGAATATTATTTGGGATTTTATCCCATTCTTCTGTCATGTACTGTTCTAATTCTGAAAGATTTTGAGGCATACACATTTCTACATTTCTTTTGACAATAGTGTCACCAATTAAATTTGGGAGAGCATATTTTAATTGGTGATAACAATTATTTTGTTTTTGCGTGGATCAGAATGAATAGGGATCAATGAATTGATTTTGGTATTAGCAAATAATTTTGTTTAAAGAAGATAAAAGTTTTAAATAAAATATTTCTATTTTATTTATTTAATTTTATTTAGTCAAAACTAATTAACTTATCACAAAGTTATTAAACAAAGTTTTCCTTAGTCAAAACTAATTTATTAACTTATTACCAAATTAATCTTTATTATGAAACTTTTAAGACAAAGTTATTTTACAAGCAAGTCGAATTTGAGCTTCTTTTATACAATTAAATTAATTCATTGCAATCTAACATTCTAGCGCGATATCGCACTTTAATTGCGATGTAACATTCTAACCATGATGCTAATTTCTAACAAAGCTAACTAATTTCGATGTTATACAAATAAAAATAAAAATGTAATACAAATAAAATAATAAAAATGTAAGTAAATATGAATAAAAATAAAATAAGAAATAAAATATAAGGAATAAGTAAATGTAGATATAAAAATAAAGTAAATAAAATAAAAATAGAAATAAAAGATTTGGTTCGGAATTAGGGTATTTCGATTAACAAATTAGCATTAAATCCTAATTCTGGTAACAATAGCCCAAAGGTTTTTGATTGGATTTAAGTCTGGACTATTGGAAGGCCAGTCCATAACTTCGGGAAAATTTTCATTGAGGAATGTCTGACAAACCCTGCTTGTGTGCTTTGGATCATTATCATGTTGGAAGCATCAATTGCTTCCAAGCAATCTATTAATTTCCTGTTTATGCCTTTGCAAAATATCAACATAAAAATTTGCATTCATGATTCCCCTGAAGCAAAAAAGAGAGCCTTTTCCTTGCATACAAAAACCTCCCCATGCAAAGATTTTAGTGCAATCTTTGGGGATTCTTCGTACTGGCCTTTCGCCTCTGTACCATTGAGTAATTGTGTTTCTGAACAACTGAAAGGCAGTTTTGTCAGAAAATAAAGTGGTTTCCTAGTTGTCATCAAGATGTCTTGTTGCCCAACCAACACGAGCTTCTTTATGGGCAACAGTAAGCATAGGTGTCTTTAAAGGCAAATTATTTTTGTAGCCTAAACTTGCCAAATGTCTTGAAATAGTCATATGAGACACTTTGGTGATATTGTTTGATAATTTGTTTGACAAAGTTCTTGTGGAAAGTCTTGGATCATGGTGCAAGTATTGGCCGATCGCTCTTGATTCATGCACAGTAATTTTTTTGGGACAACCACCTCCAGATTTTCTCGAATTAACACCTTTTTCATTCAATTTTTTAAGGTTATAATAGACAGTAGACATTGTAATGCCAGTTCTGGAATGTATTTCTTTTGCAGAAGTTATTCCATTCTACCACAATTGTAATATACTTTTTCTTTGAGTATCTTTATCAGAAGATGACATTACGTTAACAATTTTACAACAAAATCAAACCAAAACAAATGATCTAATCATGTATTAATTTAGTTTAGTACATATTTTTCACGTGTTCAAAATATGACACGAATAGTTTTTATTTTCAGAATGTTATTAATGTTTGAAATGCATGAAAAATTTTCCAAAAAGTTTTGTTACACCCTGTATATACTAAGTACAAGTCCTATGTAAACAACTTACAATAAGGTGCCTCGGGTATAAGCCTCAACATCGTGAACGACTCTTGTTGCTTTTCTGTAAAATACTTCAAAAGTACATTACGAGCTCCGTTTACATTTCTATGATGGATTTGCAAGATGTACAATTAAAGATCTTTGAACTGCCCAGATTTGACTTGATGACTCTGCAAAATCCGCATGTTTTGCTAGTGTATTTCGTGCAGATGATGACCTTAAACCAATGATGCTCACAGTATTTGTGGAGCAAACACAATCAACATTTGCCTTTGCAGTTTTAGAGTAGATTTTTCTAGAACCGCATTCTTTAACCATGCCTTGTGTTTTAAACTCGGGGAACAAAATCATGTGGTGGTTTTCGCACAACCATATTGCAAATCTTCGATAACATTCATCGGTAAGATTACAAATTTTTTCTTGTGGATTCGGAGCATGCGCCGACGTATGCCTCCTACATTTTATTTCCATGAATAGAATTCCTTCGCCTTGAATTCTGTCATAATACAAGCACAAGCGATGTGTTCTACTAATATCCCCTTTTCCCCATTCTATAACCTCACCGCTTGGGTTATGAAGGTTCTCACTCCTGCCTATGCATCATTATTTGTTTTATCTATATATTTTGTTATATAGCTATTTATTGTTGTATTTGTACAAATGCTGAAATGAAAATTGGAATTAAATAATAAAAAAACAAGTATACAATGTGTATATGATTTATAACTAATAAAACATTAAAATAAGAAAAAGATCTATTTTCAAAAAAAAATAATTGAAAGCAAGATTTCATTATAAAAAAAATTTCAAATTACCTTTTTCAACAAAAACCCCTTTAAGTGCCCTCTCTTATTACTATTAAATAAAAAATTTGCCTTTTTTTATTTATATGTTTTTAAGGTAAAAAAAAATTATAAGTATAAATATATAAAATATAAAAATATATATTATAAGTTTAAAAAAACTCACCAAAAAAGAAAGAATGTAAGTAAACCACAAGAAATGGAATAAAAAAATTTAACGGTAGGAAGAGAAGTAAAAATAAAGAGAAAAGATGAGAGAGGGAAAAGGAAGGTTACCAAAGTTGGGTTTACAAATACAAACAAATTTAATACTTGATTTATCATTGTTACACTGTGGACTGTTTAAATTTAAATTAATTATTATTGTTGTTTTCTATATGTGCAAAATAAAAAGATATTTTTGTATTATTTATAAATGAAAATTTTTTTAGAGTATATTAATTATTATGGAAAAATTTTTATTCTGAAAACCCCTCCCAATGAATATATATATCATTTAAGTAATGTTGTGAAGTTTTAAGTCCAAAAGGATCAAATGGAAAAAATTTTGACATTTCCCATAAACTTTCCTCCTCTTCGTCATGACGAATTCCATAATTCGCATTACATTGTAAAAAGTTCACTTTATTCGTTATGTAAATAAATACTTCTACAATAGATTGTGCACACATCTATTTTGAAAAAAAAAACTTATTTAATAGAGAGAGAAGGAAAATGCAACCAACGAAAAATAAATAATTATCAAAACAACAAACCTCCAAAGGTTTAAAATTTGAATTTAGAATAGTTTTGATCCAATCAGTTTCTTTACACCATCCATTTTTATTTGCGAGATCGCTCCATCTATAACAGAAGATGTACATTATACCTGTTAACACTGAATAGAAATGTTTATTTTGTTTGGCTTGTTTGTGCGCAACTGACACTTTATATTTGCATATGTATCTTTCAATCCAACTGCCTACAATATGAAATATTTGACGTAACTCTTGTTTTTTAAGAAATTTGGCACGGGCAGCAAACGATGCAAGATATTGGGTTGCCGAGAATCTAATGATTTCTGATTCTTGTTCCCCAAATGTTTTTCGTAAAATTAGTGTTAAAAAACGCCTTGAAAATGAATAGTCAAGCGAAACGTACCAAAAAATTATGAATTGAACATATCGCGATTTACAAGTGTGCAAAATTCTCTTTTCAAAAACATTCATCAAAACTCTGTAAATTTCCTCTTGTCCTTTCTTTGTAGTATTTTTATAGCACCAACTTAAATAATCAAACAACAACTTCATCATACAATCCAACTTTTCTAATAAATCTTTAATGTCAAGTATTGTGACCATTTGTGAAGTATTGTCCATATTATCACCATCACTTTCATCATCATATCCTGTTAACATATTAAAATCATTATAATTGACATCGTTATTTTGATGACTTTGTGAGGACGACAACAAATCGGTTTGGATTGTTGATAGTTTTTGATATACCATTGAATTTAAAGAATCTGAATTATTTCCATCGCCATAAAGTGATATATCATACTGTGGAATTGAATCTTCTAAATCTTTTATATCATTAAATTTTCCTTGTATCTCTGTCTATATTAAATAAATAAATAAATATATATACGCAATTTAATATATATGGGATTTTAAATATTTTCATTTAAAATATAAATTTACATACATCAATTTGAATCAACTGACTAAATATTAGTTGTAAAACATCAGATTGCAATTTATTCGTGTATTCCAAAAGTTGCAACAAATTTTTTAGATAAGTTATATGAACATATAAAGGTTCTGCTTTGTGTGGAAATTCTTCAACTATCAATTTGTAAAGTAGATCAACTGAATTCGGAGTTATTTTTATAATACTTTTCACAGTATTTGTGGAGCAAACACAATCAACATTTGCCTTTGCAGTTTTAGAGTAGATTTTTCTAGAACCGCATTCTTTAACCATGCCTTGTGTTTTAAACTCGGGGAACAAAATCATGTGGTGGTTTTCGCACAACCATATTGCAAATCTTCGATAACATTCATCGGTAAGATTACAAATTTTTTCTTGTGGATTCGGAGCATGCGCCGACGTATGCCTCCTACATTTTATTTCCATGAATAGAATTCCTTCGCCTTGAATTCTGTCATAATACAAGCACAAGCGATGTGTTCTACTAATATCCCCTTTTCCCCATTCTATAACCTCACCGCTTGGGTTATGAAGGTTCTCACTCCTAGGTCAAGAGAAATGATGCCAGCGCCTCTATTCTCTTCGACCACTGAAAATTTAGGACCTTGGTTATCAGCTTTAATTTCGAATGGTTTGGGGACACACAAGTAGAATTCACCAAGACAATTCATGGTGAGACGAAGCTCATATTTATTCCAGGTATTTTTTCACTTGTTTCAATATCTTTTAGAAATAAATAATGACACAATTTCTTCTCCATTCTCTTGATATAACTAGAGATGGGAAAATGTGCATATAGTTGAACACTATATGATACTATACATATATTGCATATAGTGCGCATAGTAGTGTTGAAATTTGATTGGATGATTTTCAAAACTGACAATAATAAGAAAAAAATATTTGGCCATTACAATAAACATGAACATTGTAGCAATTAAATCTTTATTTAATTTATTCAACTTACACTTTTTTTATCTTTTTCATACTAAAGATTTGATTTATATATTTAATTGAATTATTAATTATATTGAATGAATTAAATATCATAAAAATCAAAACTTTTTCACTTTTATTTGATTCTTCAATAAAATTTTCGTGTGTTTCATCAGCTTCTTCGATGGTATTTTCATCAATTCCTCAATTACGTTATAATTTATCTGTATACTAATATTTGAAGTATCAAAATGTTCTCCAAAATAATTCTTTTAGTTTGAATTGTGGCATTTGGACAAAGGCGTAAATAGTTTTCACATCTAGATACTGGACTAGTACATTGATATTCAAAACGTAATCGCTTATAACATTAACATTACCAATATGTTTAAAATGTTGCCAGACTGCATTTTGGCAATGGTGAACTTGATAATAAGATTTGCACCAACATGGTGTCAGCTGGCTTTCTGGATATTTGTTTGCAATATCTTCATACAAACAATACAAACATAATGGTCTAAAAATTAAATTTCTAGTCATAAATTTTTTATTTTAGTAAAAATGTACTTTGAACAAATCAACAGATAATTACAAATTATTAACAGATTATAGTATTTCTTTCAATTATTATAAACTGATTTATTTTTAGAAAGTGTAACATAGATATAATGAATTGATCACTATTCTGGAATCGAATCCCGATATGGTAATATCCCTGACTGAATTATATTCGAGTTGAAATATTAATTTCTTTAATTGATGAATTCTGGTGATCACTATCCAAAAGAGAATTATACAGAAAAAACTTATCTCTATATTACAACTTGGTATAGGAGGCCAAATGTAATCCAATGCAGTATTTGAAAATATTAGTAATTGTTGTGATATACTTGACCAATATTGATTTAAAGATAACATGAAGATGGATTGTATTCATTGCTTGGATTTTGTAATTCCGTTATTACACTACAATGTTGAATATATTTTCTTTAATATATTTGTTATAATAATTACTATTGTATCATTAATTATTATCAAATTAAAGGTTATAAAGTTTTTATATTATTTTTTGGTCTAGAATTTTTTTTTTACCCTTTCTATTTTAAATATTTAATGTCGATCGCGCGATAATCATCATATCTATTATATTACAATGCAACCATTATGCGATGATTTTCAACAATTTTTATTTGGTCATGCAAATATTATTATTATGCATAAAATCATCATCCCTGGTATAGATATAATATAATAATATCAATATAAATATAAATGAATGTGGCGTGAGAATCAAACCGTCGTTCCCTGGTCAAATTTTGAAAAATGTAAAAAGATCTACAACTTTGGACCCTTGTTTCTCAGTCCACGCATCAAAAATTTATAATCGTATAAGATCCATGCCCTTAAATGAAATAGTGTGATATCATATACTATATGGTATTTTAGAATTGGGAATATTTCATAGTTATTATTTTATTATGTATCAATTTAACATTACTATTTTTATTACATTTATATTGGAAAAAAATAATTGGTGTTCCGCACACAGACTAAGAAGGATCAATTTAAAGAAATTGTGTGGTTAAAACTTCGTTTATGTGATCTTTTATTTTTCATTTTACATATATGAATAAATTATTTTTCTTTTCTACCCGAATTAAGCACCTATCTACTGAAATATAAATAATAAAATATAAATTAAAGGTTGAGTGATGAAGAATAATAAATAAATAAATGCTGATGATATGAAAAAAAAAAAAGATTTCTTTGTATATCGTCTTTTTTATATAAATGAATGATGAAAAAAAATAATGATTGAAGTGAATATGTATGGATGTGGAAAGCTTATTAATAAAAATACATTAATAAATATGAACTTAAAATACATTTTTCTTTTTTTTTTTTCATATTTATGAAAAAAACCCCCAGACAAATTCTATTAAAATATGATTATGTTTTCTTTTTTTGTTTTTTTTTTCCTTTTTCCCTTTCTACAAAATTTCACAAAGAAAACATTTTTTGCCAGTTTGTGCATATTGATCATCACCTTTATCAACTGGACCCCATATTGATGGTACCAAGTTATCTCTAGTATTTTTGCAATAATCAATCAATCTAAAGATATATATATTTAGTAATTGGTTATACCGTAATAAAATAATTCAATAATAATAATAATAATAATAATAATAATAATAATAATAATAATAATAATAATAATAATAATAATAATAATAAT